CATACCAGTCCATAGAGACAGACCAGTCCGCATAGGAAGAGCAAGTAAGCACACAGAGCACTCCAGAAGAGAAAGTAAGCACTTGTCCTATCACAGTACCTATACAGCCCGATCTAACCCAAACCAAGGACAGCCAGGCCACAGAGGCAATAACAGCCCAAGCACAGGAAGCAAGCAGTGTGAAGTTATGTAGCACAGTAGGTATAGAGACCCAGGACGAATTTCAAGACTCATTGGAGAACCTGGAATACAGGCCGAATATACCACCAGTACCCATGCCAAGGTCTATAAGCCGCGCAAAGACTCCACCAGTACCCATGCCAAGGTCTATAAACAACACAGAGAGCACAAAAAGCACAGAGAGTCTACCAGTGCCCAATCCAATGCTTTCATATGCCAAGGACACCATTAGTTCCGCCCAAAAAAACCAAACCATTCGGGTGGACATGTGTGAAGATCCAGTAAGAGAGGCACAGCTTGGAAAAAAGCAAAGAGAAGAAGAGAGAGCACGCACTCCAGCCCACACAAAGCAGCCAAATGGCAGGACACAAAGCAGCCAGGCTCTAAGCAACCCCGATATAATCCAAGGCCTGGGAGAGGCACAGGAAAGGCCAGAAAACAGCGTCCTGGAGGAGGCGCAGACCACAGAAGTCCCAGAAATAAAAGCGCTGGTGGATGAAGAGAGCCAAGTGTGTGAAGCAACCACCCACCCCACCCCATCCTCAAGCATAAGCACAATGAGCACTGACTCCCTGGAGAGGCCAAAGTATTTTTGGGCCCTGAATGAGTCTGTCGGTGGAGTGGAAGCAAAGAATCCGAAGAGCCAGGCGAACCAGGCGTTGTCTTCGGATTCGCCTCCTCCTTTAATCTTTCCGCCCACTCTGGAATGGCCTAGTCTAGATAAGTAAATATCACAATAAATCTTGACTATACACTCTTTTTTATGCCCCATTCACACACCCTTGAGATCTCTCTATACACCCACTCCCAGGCCCTGTTACGGAGTGGCGAGCAGCGATGGCCCGAATAACCAAAGAAACCGCCAGCAGACAGCCAATAAACCACAAGAGATCACTCTGACAGCACATGCAATAAACCATCCACACCCACACACCCAGCGAGAACACAATGCGGGTCCAGAGAGAGCGCAGCAAGCAGACAGCACACCCTGTCCACTCTCTATAAGCACGCCAAGTAATCCGAATAACACAGGCTGTGGCAAGGCCGTGCACTCTCCACCTGAATAATCCGAAAAGGGCCAGGCACCGAGAGAAAAGGACCACAAAAAGACCCCCACCACCTCCATCACTAATAAACCACCCCACCGATCAGACTGACACATCCATCAATTAACCCGAACCAGCAGGGCACAGACAGAGAGGACAGAGCAGCCACACCCAGTCCAGGGCACGTGCAGAGAAGAGATTAACACATAACCCGAATAGCCCGAAGCCAGGAGAGCGTACCGACCAGTGCACATACAGACACACTCTCACTCTCCCGACCTTAAA